CTTTGTGTCGTTTTCGAAGTGGGAAGCTAAGGCTAAGTATGTTCCATTGCAATGATTTCTAGATATTCCTATATAAAAAAAGGAATTTAAAGAATTAATAAAAATAGCCAAAGTTTACTGATTCGGTAAATAAAAATTTTTTCCTAAATATATCTCATAAAAGTTTTTTTATTAACCCAATTGAAGGCGAATATATTTCTATAACAGTTGTATTCACATTGTGTATTAAAAAAGTATACATCAAAATTAATTGTATTAGCAATTACTTAAAAAAAACCAGTATAGTGGGGACGGAGCATAGTTGGGTCGGGGCATAGTGGGGACGGGGAGGTCACGGGTTTACAAGAATTTTTAAACCTGAAAGTGATAAAATCACTTTTGAAAAAACGCTTCGATGCAAATCAGTAGGTAGTATTTTCAAGCCAGTACAGTCCAAACCAAGCACAGTATAAACCAGCAAAGTTAGAAAGTTTTAAATTAAGGTTCTGTATTTACAAATGAGCATCAAAGCGTTTATTTGAAAGCGATTTTATTCAATTTTATCACTTTTATTTATAATAATTCTTGTAGACCTGTGACCTCTCCGTTTCCTCATTGCTTTGATTACATTATGCCTATAATCTACTGTACTAGTCCTCTCGGATAAAATCACTTTCAATTTAACGTTTTGATGCTCATTTGTAAATACAGAACCTTCATTTAAAACTTTCTAACTTTGCTGGTTTATACTGTGCTTGGTTTGGACTGTACTGGCTTGAAAATACTAACTACCGATTTGCATCGAAGCGTTTTTTCGAAAGTGAATTTATCACTTTCAGATTTAAAAATTCCTGTAAACCTGTGACCTCCCCGTCCCCACTATGCCTCGACACAACTATGCTCCGTCCCCACTATGCCTCGTTCCCACTGTACTGGTTTTTTTATTTTTTGCAAAAACGTGGTGGACCAAATAACACATATACAATGTCTTGTTATATTTTGTTGGAATGGTCGACGATTCATGTTTTAATCGTTTGTACTCCATAGTTTAAATTATAATCGCTTATTCTCAATAAAATTAATATTTATGTATTATATACTTCCATTAGAGCAATCTCACACAAACTATTTATACTTCATAGATTATATTATTTCGAAGCTATATTATACTTCTATTTTATTAGATTGACAATGTACAAAATAAAATGCAACTAAAAAAACCTTTTCATTGATCCTTAAAATGGAAAGATTGGGATAGTGAATCGGGTAGGTTGCCTAAACGGGTCCCATTTAAATACATTAGAAAATCGCCATTTTACTGCCCTATCCTGTATATTAATTTCTTGTTATTTTCTAAAGAAAAATTGATTTTCTTACATTTAAATTAAAATAAATCGTATACTGGTAGTGTGATGAAGAAAACAATACATTTTACCTAAATTTATTACTTATTAGTTAAATATTACTAACCTGTATAGCCACTAGCGGTCGGCTGTTGCCTGTTATTTAACAATAAACTTTTATGGAGATTTTAATAATAGTATAGGAGCAGTATCATGATGTTAAATGTTCACGAGATTTGATCTAGTCATGAAATAACGTACTATCATTCATTACTTTTAAATACTATTAAAATATATCTTAACTTGAACACAGTAATAAAATAATGAAATATTTTATACAAAATTATAAACTAAAAAATTAAAACTAGCACGAAGCAGATTACATATCGTATATAAGATAATTTAAACAATCAAGCGTGAATCTCATTAAATGAATTACAGTGTAACAATATGCAAAACATTAGTTTTCCTTTAAAAAAATTGTGTAATAAAAAATACATTTTGGAGCGGTAAACTGCATAACAACCAACACTTAATCTGAATCCAAAAAACAACAGTCCTCTTCATAATTTGCTGGTAGTTGGACCTTATATACTCATAGTTGACCTTCGGTGAGGTAATATAACGCAGGCGATAAAAAAACGAGATAACGACAGTGGTTTTGTTGTATCAGAATCATTAAGTGGTTGGCCCAGTATTAAAAAAGTTACAGTGTATACAGATAAAAAAAAAGCCCACATCAGAGTAAAACCAATATCTTCTCGCTTTGCATCGAAGCTAAAACATTGTTCTGGTTATTTGTGTAAAAGACATCAAAAGTGGTCATATGTTGGCCACTTTTGGTATGTTTTTGGGGTCGGTGATTACGAATTTAATATCAGTTCTCAATTTTAATCATCCAGAAAGAACTTAAGTACAAAAAAAAAAAAACTAAATTTGTGTAAACTTAAAGTCAAAAGTGGTACTTGAGCACAAAACTTAATAGTATCATTCAGCATAGATATACATACATACGTTACATACGTTATACATACGTTTTTGTTAAAATATACGAAATCTGCGAAAACACAGTTTCCCGGCAGTTAAAAAAAAACTGTAGTGCCGAATTGTTTTCCCGTTTAATATGTTATGGATACATATGAGTTCCATCTACTGGCAAATTTTTAACTTTTACCCCCCCCCCCCCCAAAGTACAAACTAGATAAAATTTGTGATTTAAAGAGTTGCTATTCGAAGGAATTGGTCTAGTATTAAAAAAGTTACAGTGTATAGAGCTAAAAAAAAAGTCCACATCAGAGTAAAACCAATACCTTCTCGCTTTGCATCGAAGCTAAAATATTTGTTAAAAAATGTTGTCTAAATACATAATACATTAAAAAAAATGTATAGTATCTAAATACTCTATAAACCTAGTGAATAATAATATACACTTGTGATATTAATTTGAGACACGTTATTTCTCTCATAATAGTATTTACATTGTGTATTCCAAAAAAAATGTAATGATTTTAGCAATTGGACGATATGTATGATGCGATAGAAGAATATGCTATAGCTACAGCCTCAGTTCAAGCAAGATTTTGCTTAATTGAAAACCGCGTGGAAATGAAACAAAAAATACTACAAGATACTAAATCCTCAGATGCAGTAAATTTTGGCTTAATTAAAAAGCCACTGGGAATGAAACAAAAAATATCAGAAGATACTAAAGCCTTAGATGCATTATTTTCTGGTATAATTAAAAAATATGAAGAATTGAATCAAAACCTAATTGAGGCCAATCAATCAATCGATTTGATATTTAACGACTTTCCGGGTACGATGAATAATAATAGTTTAGTAAAATATATACATATATCGACATCTAAAGACCTCTCTCATGGCCTCTCTCAACAATTAAAAATTTAATTTTATAAGCAAATGTTTTTGTATTATCAAGACGCATGCGATTGTGTTATAAAAATCAATGTTTGACATCAAGAGGCGGCTGTATGCAATCAAATAACATCAGCGCCTCTATAAAACCTAATGATATCAGTGATATTTATTTTGTTCTTCCTGAAAAGTTGAAAAAACTGAGATAGGCCAAAATGGTTCTTAGGCGGCGATTTGTAAACAACTAATAATCACATTGATGTTCAATATAAACTATTATTGTCGATAAGTAGTGTGTTTTTTTACAACATTACCGAGGAGTACTTAAAGTGTTGGGTAGAAACACGATTTTAAATTATTTGAGAACTAAACAAGCGGAAAACGTCATTATTGTTTTTAGATGACTTTTAGTAATACCCGTTGTGGCCAAATATTGTACATAAAAGCGCAATAATAATAAAGGCAACCTGTTAATTCGTTACATGTTAATATAGTTTGTTAAACTTTAACATACATATTTTTATAATGATTTATAGATATTCGTTTGCCAATAGAGGAATTTAAAGAAAAAATGAATAATATTAAAGAATTATTAAATATATCAAATTTAACTGATGAGGTAACTTTACATTTTTTTTTATATAATAATATATTTATTTGCAATTAATTCCATGGTGTGCGTAGATAACATAACTTACAGTAAAATATAAAACAAAACAAAATACAAATGTTTAAGCTAAGAATTGCTTTCCTATAAGCTAATATCTTGTGGTAGAAAGTTTAACAGTTAACTTAGGCTATTTACAGTTATTTTAATAACTTGGTATAAGTGTCTTACCTGACCTCATACAATTATTCCGTAATTCAAAACTGATTGGACGAGTAATTGTAATATATATAAAAGAATTTGTATATTGGGTTGGTTAATGCGTTTATATGATGTTTCCATTTAAATTTACTACTATCTATTATTATAGACAATTAGGTTTATTCACAAATTCTAGAGCGATACCATTTGTAGAGGTTATTAACTTTAAAAATAATTAAAAATAATTTATAAAATAAAATGCTTTTTTGACATCAAAGAATATTCCTAGAACTTTGTTTTTATGTTACTATCGCCAAGGTTTATATGGATAAAATTATTGGTTGAACAATGAAAATAATGCGTCATCGGTTGAACTGTCTGTTATAAAGCCAAATTTTTTTTTTTAATCAAATATTATTATTTCAAATTGCATTATTCTCTTTTTTAAATCATTTTCGATAAATCGCTATTGGGCGATAGTTACTACAATATGCGGGGTGAATAGTTTCATAATCAGTAGACTATCATAAGTTAGTAGATTATCTGGTAAAAATTTGGAAATGGAGAAATTATTCTAACATCAGAGGGTAAGGGATCAAAATTTTCGGTTTACACTTATTGGAAATATACACAACTTGTGTTGTGAGTCTTAACACTTATATTTGAAACCGTAAATTAATATGGGGAAAAAACCTAATTGGTTTTAAATGATTTGGGTCATAAGAACATGCTACAACTTTATATCAGTTGTTTTTGGATAATTTTTTTTTTTAATTCGATGATTTCATATTTGTTAACACAATTTTATCTAAACACATGATACATAAAAATAAAAAAATAATAATCAAATACTGTATAAATCTAGTGAATACTGGTATATATATATATATATATATACTGTTATATACTGAGAAGTGGTAATAATTTGAGACACGTTATGTCTGTAATAATAGTATTTACATTGTCTTTTCAAAATAATAATGTAATGATTTTAGATATTGGACGAAATTTATTCTACGTTACGAGAAGATGCTGCCAACAATTCAATAAAATTTTACATATTTGAAAAACTTATTGAAGACCCTGAACGGGTTATCGGGTTTAAAATTGAAAAAATTCCGGGTACGTTAAATAATAACAATCATTAGATATTGCAAAATGTATATGTAAATTGTGACAAGTAATCAATTTGCCTTTTTAAAAAAATTATTATCGATAAGTAGAGCGTTTTTTTCCAACACTTTTGAAGAGTGCTTATAATATTATGCAGAAGTCGCCTGTAATGATAGTTAGCAAGAACAAGTTAAACAAATTCATGTAACGCTTTTATCTTAATTTTCTGAAAAATTATGTTACAAAAAATTGTTTTCATTACGGTTACACGAACTGTAATAAACATTGCAGTATGAATTTTATGACATTCACCATGAAATTTTAATTAAACACGATTTTAGACTATTTAAAAACTAAACAAGTGGACCAACAAAATAATTGTTTTTAATTGGCATATAATAATACCCGTTTTGCCCAAATATTGTACACAAAAATGCATTAATAATAAATGCAACTTATTAATTCATTACAGCATAATTTAGTTTTGTGACTTTTAATATCAACATTCAACACTTTATAATCATTTCTAGATATTTATATGTCAAAAGAGGAATTAAAAAAAATAATGAATGCAAAAATAGAAAATTTAACTGAAGAGGTAATTTTCGTTTAAATTTTTTATCTAATAATATATATATTTGCAATTAATTCCGCGGTGTACATAAATAACATAACTTACAGTATAATATAAAAAAATTAAAAATTATACACTAAAAGTAGGAATTTATAATACGTGTAACCCTCATATAAGCTAATATCTTGTGGTGGAGAGTACGACTTAAGTATTGAATTATGAATTATTTTAATATCTAAATATGTGATACATTAAAAAAAATTATAGGTAATAATTAAATAATTTATAAACCTAGTAAATAATATACTAGAGATATTTCGAGATACAACAATTCTTAAATTCTAGTATTCATAATTTATATTAAAAATAAAATTAAAATTATTTTAGCATCATCAAAGAATTTTTGAAAAAATAATACACAGATCTAAAGGATGTGTTACCAAGCTTTCAATACAAGGCTATTTATATACGAAAACCATAGGATCGAATGATATACTATCTATACAGGAAATCGAATATGGAACTAAAAGTTTGCCATCGGGTACGTTGATTAATAATAATTTAGTAAAATATATATTATGCAGAAATCGAATGTAAAGATTTTATCTTGTTTTCTTTAGACTAATTTTAAATAATATTTAAATGTTAATTTTCGAAATTCCTATGAATTTTTTTTGAAATACGATTTTTAATTATTTAAAAACTAAACAATCGGAAAAACGTCATGGTTGTTTTTAGACGGCTTTTAATAATACTCGTTATGACCAAATATTGTACACAAAAATGCAATAATAAAAAATGCAACCTGTTAATTCGTTACAGCATAATTTAGTTTGGTAACTTTTAATATTAACACTTTATAATCATTTATAGATATTCATATGTCAAAAGAGAAATTTAAAGAATTAATGCAAGCAAAAATAAAAAATTTAACTAAAGAGGTAAATTTATTTTTTATTATTTTTATTTAATAATATATTTGCAATTAATTACGCGGTGTACTTAGATAACATAACTTACAGTATAATATAAAAAAAATAAAAAATAAAAGTAGGAATTTTTAATGTTTGCAACCCTCCTATAAGCTAATATCTTGTGGTGGAGAGTTGGACTTATGTATTCTTTAATATATAAACATATGATACATTAAAATGAATTATAATAATTAAATAATATATAAACCTAGTAAATAATACACTCAAGATAATTCGAGACAAATTATTTCTAAAATAGTAGTATTTGTAATATGTATTAAATATAAAAATATAATTTTTTTAGCAAATTGAAAAAATTTATGCAGCAGTACAAAAAGATAATAAAGGATGTGTTACTAAGCTCTCAGTAAAAAACTACTTACATAAGAAAAGCATTGAATGGAAGCATATAATATCTAAACAGGAAATCGAATATTTAACTAAAAGTTTGCCGTCAGGTACGATGATAAATAATAATTTAGTAAAATATGTATTATGTGAAAAACTAATAATATTATGCAGAAATCCTATGTAAATATAGTTAGGAAGAACAAGTAATACAAATAAAAACCGCTTTTATCTTGTTTTTTTTAGACTAATTATAAATAATATTGGAATGTTAATTTTCGAAATACGATTTTAAACTACTTAAAAGCTAAACAAACAGAAAAACGTCATTGTTGTTTTTAGACAGTTTTTAATAATACCTATTATGGCCAAAAAATGTACACAAAAACGCAATAATAATAAATGCAACAAATGTTAATTCGTTACAGCGTTGTACATTCGTTAATACGTTTGGTAATTTTTAATATCAACACTTTAAATTGATTTCTAGATATCTCTATGTCAAAAGAGGTATTCCAAGAATCAATGAAAACAATAATAAGGGATTTAACTAATAAGGTAATTTGAAATTTTTTTTTATCTAATATTATATTTATTTGCAATTATTTCCGTGGTGTACGTAGATAACATAACTTACAGTATAATATAAAAAGATAAAAAGTAATACACTAAAAGTAGGAATTTTTAATGTGTGCAACCCTTCTATAAGCTAATATCTTGTGGTGAAAGGTTGGACTTATGTATTAAATTATGTATTTTTTTAATATGTAAATATATGATACATTAAAACAAATTGTAATAATAAAATAATCTATAACCTAGTAAATAATATACAAGAGATAATTTGAGACACATTATTCCTAAGATAGTAATTTTAATCACATTGTAATGTGATTAAAAATAAAAATAAAATTCTTTTAGCAACTTGAAAAAATGTATGATGTAGTACAAAAAGACGATAAAGGATATGTTACCAAGCTCTCAGTAGAACACTACTTACATAAGAAAAGCATTGAATGGAAGTATATACCATCTAAACAGGAAATCGAATATTTAACTAAAGATTTGCCGTCGGGTACGTAGATTAATAATAATTTAGTAAAATATACATTATGTGAATAACTAATAATATTATACAAAGATCGTTAGGAAGAACAATTATTACAAATATAAACCGCTTTTATCTCGTTTTCTTTAGACTATTTGTAATTCATATTGAAATGTTAATTTTCGAAATTCCCATGAATTTTTTCGAAGCATGGTTTAAAATTATTTTAAATCTTAACAAGCGGAAAAACATCATTGTTGTTTTTAGATGGCTTTTAATAGTACCCGTTATGACTAAATATTGATCACAAAAACGCAATAATAATAATTACAATCTGGTTATTCGTTACAGCATAATTTAATTTGTTAAGTTTTAACATAAATCATTTCTTAATGTTTTATAGTTGCGTGTTTGACAAAATCGCGATTTAAAGACGAAATAAAAAAAGATGAGGTAATTTTGAATTTTATCTATTGAACTATATAACTCATTAAAAAAGAAATACCGCTAATTTAATAAACCTAATTCGAGACATAATGATTTCTATATAATAGTTGTATTCACATTGTATATTAAAAAAATTAATAATGTCTGTATTTACCTCATTAGCAATAACTTGAAAAAAATATTTATTAAAAAATGTAATCTAATTATCTAGTACATTAACGAATTACAAAAATGAAATACTATAGTGAATAATATACAGGGAAGTAGCAATAATTTGAGACACATTATTTTCGTAAGAATAGTCTTTACATTATGTATTCAAAAAAGTTACGGTCTACTTAAAGCATTACAGCTAAACTAATAAAACATGCTTAAGTCAGCTGGCTCTTGAATATTGATTATTTCCGATCAATAATCTCCTTGCGATATTTGATGATAGTATAGTCTTAATTTTATGCTGTCGTCCAATGGTTTTTAGTAGTTTTTTATTATTTCGCATTAATCGGTTGGTTGGCAACATTCAACTGAATTAGTTATTTTGAATAAATTTAATTGTGCTTATTGTGAAACAATTTAAATTTTTTTGGATAAATTTTTGGTTACCCATTTTATAAAATTGCCATTATATGGATTTGTACCTTTCAATCTATATAAAATGATCTATTATATAAAATATGGCTGAGAATAAGTAATTAATACGTTTTTATACAACAATAAAATAATTTAGGTTTTTGATGCACTGAATATATGTATTATCATATAATAATTGTCCAGACCTAAAAACCTAAAAGATTTGTCTCAAGACATTTTATACACTTATAAATATATACATATATACATATTATATAAAAAAGGAGCCGCTAGATCACGCCACTTTTGCGTTACTATCGTGACGCTATTTTGTGTCGTTTTCGAGCTGAGAGGCCAAGGCTAAGCATGCTCCATTCTAATACAAAATATAATGGTTTTAGATATTGGAAGAAATTTATGCTGGCGCCCAAAGTTATTTGGCTAATGATTTGAAACCCCTTTCTGAATGGCTCAAAAGTGGAACGTTTTATAGGTCTACCATAATACAAGGTGTGTTGGACTACATAAATAAAGAAGAACTAGCGAGCGAACATAAAAGTAAACTAAGTTCCATAACCAATGAACAACTAATGGATGTAACAGAAACATTGCCGGAGGGTATGATGAATAATAATAATTTGTTAAAAGATATTGTAAAATATATATGTGAATGTGAATAACTAATAATCACTTTGATGTTTTATACAGGGTGTTCCACCATGGAAGGTTATATTAGGTCTAATAGGTGATTAGACATCTAGGGGACCCCAAAATAAGCCCCTCGTTTTCAATTTTTTGATAAGTCAAAAATTGAAGATTTCGATAGTTCCATAACCTTTGAACAACTAATGGATGTAACAGAAACATTGCCGAAGGGTATGATGAATAATAATAATTTTCACCTCGTTTTCATTTTTTTGATAAGTCAAAATTTGAAGATTTCGATAGTTAAGTAAAAAAATAATGACAAAAAAAAAATATATATATTCCCTGTTTATCAGTACAAAAAGCTCACCTTAAAAAAGGGATCACATCATTTTCAGTCCCTTTCGGCCCCTAACTCAAAAAATAATAAGAGTAAAATGGTTAGAGACCAGAAACAAATGATAAGTGATAAAAGATAAATGCTAAGAAATAATTGCTATAAGTTAAAAGAAAAAAGATAAAAGAAAAGAGATAATTGACAAGACATTAAAGATAAATAATTAGAAACAAGAGATAAGAAATAAATGATAAGATATTATTGAAAAGAGATAAATGATTAGAGACTAGAGGTAAGAAATAAATGATAAGGTAAGTGATAAGAGAAGAGTTAGGGGCTGAAAAAGACTGAAAATGATGTGACCCCTCTTTTAAGGTGAGCTTTTTGCACTGAATAACATGGAATTATTTTTTGGTTTTTTTAGGTCATTAATTATTTTATTTAACTGTCAAAACCTTCAATTTTTTAATTATCGAAAAAAAAACGGGGGGCTTATTTGGGGGTCCCCCAGATGTCCAATTACTTATTACTTACCTTTAATGCTGGAAACCCTGTATTAAATATTACCGGTAGGTAGTGTTCTTTTTTATAACATTTCTTAGGAGTACTTATAGTGTTTTGCAGGAACACGATTTTAAATTATTTAAAAAGTAAACGAACGGAAAAACATCATTATTGTTTTAGATGACTTTTAGTTATACCCGCCGTGGCCAAATATTGTATATAAAAACGCAATAATAATAAATGCTACCTTAGCGGGTTTTCCAACATTTTTGAGTGGTGCTTATAATATTATGCAGAAGTCGTCTGTAAAGATAATTAGGAAGAACAAGTTATACAAATAAAAAAACGCTATAGTTTTTTTTTTTGATAATTTTAATTATTATATAAATATTTATTTTACGACATTCCCATATTTTTTTTTTTTTAGACACGGTTTTAGATCATTTAAAAATTAAACAAGTGGATAAACCAAATTATTGTTATTGGATGGCATTTTATAATACCCGTTATAACAAAATATTGTACACAAAAACGCAATATTAATAAATACAACCTGTTAATTCGTTACAGCATAATTTAGTTTGGTAAATTTTAATATCAATACTTAATAATGATTTCTAGATATTCGTATGTCAAAAAAGGAATTAAAAGAATTAATAAAAAAACCAAAATTTACTGATGCGGTAAATATGATTTTTTTTTTATTTAAATGTATCTAATTAAAAAAAAAAAGGTATATTATTAACCTATTTTGACACAAAATTATTTCTATAACAGTAGTATTAACACTGTGTATTAAAAAAAATAATATCTGAATTTATTTTAATGGCAATAACTTAAAAAAAATACTTGTTTGAATACATAATACATTAAAACAGAATTATAATTATTAAATACTCTATAAACCTAGTGAATAATATACAGATTAGTGATATTAATTTGAGACACGTTATTTCTCTAATGATAGTATTCACTATTCACATTGTGTATTCAAAAAAAAAAAAAATTGTATTCATTTTAGCAATTAAACGATATTTATGATGCGGTACTAAAAGATGCTAAGTCTTCATATCCAGTTAAAGTTTGCATAATTGAGAAATTCGAAGATAGAAAACATGTACTACTTGAAAGCCATTTGACATGTAGCCAATTTCCGGGTACGATGATTAAAAATAGTTTAGTATAATATACATACATCGACGCCTAAGAACCATTATGGCCTATCTCAAAAAATTTGAAACTTTATTTAATAAACCAATGGTATTATCAAGACGCGTGAGACTGAGTTATTAGTTTCAATGTCTGACATCAAGAGGCGGCTGTATGTAATCAAATGTCATCAGGGCCTCTATAAAACCTAATGATAGCAGTGATATGTATTTTGTTCCTCCTGAAAATTTAGAAAATCTGAGATAGGCCAAAATAGTTATTAGGTGACGATATGTAAATAATTAATAATCACATTGATGTTCAACATAAATTATTATCATCGATAAGTAGTGTGTTTTTTTACAACATTACTGAGGAGTACTTATAGTGTTTTACAGAAACCTGATTTTAAATTATTTAAAAACTAGACAAGCGGAAAAACATCATTATTGTTTTTATATGACTTTTTTATAATACCATTGATTATGTATTGATTATGTCTATTACATAATCAATGGTAATACCCGTCGTAGCCAAAAAATGTACACAAAAACGCAATAATAATAAATTAATCCTGTTAATTCATTTCATAATACTATAGTTTGTTAAATTTTAACAATTAACATTTTTAAAATGATTTCTAGATATTCGTTTGCCAAAAGAGGAATTCGAAAAATCAATGAGATTAAACAAATTTGATTTACCTGATATGGTAATTTTACATTTTTTATCTAAAAATATATTTATTTGTAATTAATTCCGTGTTGTACGTAGATAACATAACTTACAGTATAAGATAAACAAAATAAAATTAAAAAAAAATTAATACTAAAAGTAGGAATTTGTAATATTTGTAACCCTCCTATAAGCTATTACCTTGTGGTGGAGAGTTTGACAGTGAATGCACAACAACACAAAATATACAAATTTACAAATTATATTACATATAAAAAAATTATACAATTACAATAACATCTAAATTGATGTGTTTCAACCATCAAATACAATTTAAAATGTTTTATCTCATAAGAATCAAGTATATTAATTTTTAAGAATCCTACATATTTTAATTGCTACCGGAATAGAACTTTTTGCAACAAAATGTTCTTTGAATTTAGGAATATTTATATTTATATTATCTTTAAGATTCAACAGATCGTTTATGTATATAATAATAAGAAGAGGTCGTAGAACCGTACCTTGTGCTACACCACATTGTATCTCTAATGGCATACCTAAATAATTATTAACCCTAACTATGTGTCCTACTTGATAGATATGAATTTAATACGTTAATACATTTTTCTTCTAAAACCACCGTAATGTTATTTCTTTAAAAGTAATTTATTATTTATAAAATCAAATGCTTTTTTGACAACTATTACTAGAACATTAAAATTACAAACAACTATTTTGTTTATAAAAAATTTAAGTTAAGTTCTTATGACCCGTCTTATCATCGTTGAACCAATTAAGTTTTTTTTTGCTCTTCATTTACGACTTGAAACGAGTAGTTTGCTGAAAACTACCTACTTTAATGACCCCAACACTAATGTGACTAAACAACAATTTTCCAAATTCGTGCAATACTTACTTATAAGTTAGTAGAATATCTGATAAAAGTTTAAAGATGGAGAAATTATTCTAACATCAGTGGTAAGGGATCAAATTTTTTGGTTTACACATATTGGAAAGATACTCAATTTGTGTCGTGGGTCTTTTTCCACTTATGTTTGAAACCGTTGAATTTTATTCTTTTTTTATTGTTATTAAGGACCTATCAAGAATGTATGATAAGATTTTCAAACATTTCTGAAGTATAATTGCACACCATTCGATGATTTCACGTGGAATGACCAATTACCAGTCATTTTCATACTTATTACCATGCGCTAAAATCTTTTTTTTTATTTCAAGTGATTTCAATTCAACTATTAATACTCTAGAGTTAACTCCCGGGGTATTTTTGCTATAGATATTGATAATATCTGAATTTACTTTCTCAACAATAACTTGAACAAAATATTTGTTAACAAATTTTATATAAATACATGACACATAAAAAAACAATTATAATAATAAAATACTTTATAAACCTAGAGATTAATGAGATATAATATACTGTTATAAGCTAAAAAATGGTAATAGTTTGAGACAAATATATCTGTTATAATAGTATTCACACGGTCTATAAAAAAAAAAAATAATGTTTTTAGATATTGGACGAAATTTATTATACGTTACAAAAAGATGCTGCCGAAAATTTAGTTTGTCAATTGTACATAACTGAAAGAAACCTTGCACAAAATAAAGTTCCAAAAATAGATATCGGGTTTAAAACTGAAAAAATTCCGAGTATGTTAAATAATAATAATAACTATTAGATACTGTGTATTAGAAGAGTGCTTATAATATTATGCAGAAGTCGCTTGTAATGATAGTTAGGAAGAACATGTTATACAAATACATGTAATGTTTTTATCTTAAATTTCTAAAAAATTATGTTACAAAATAATTTCATTATGGTTAGACGAGTTGTAATAAACATTGAAATAGTCATTTTATGACATTCACCATGAAATTTTAATTAAACACGATTTTAGACTATTTAAAAACTGAACAAGTGGACCAACAAAATAATGTTTTTAGACGGCTTTTAATAATGCGTTACAGCATTGTACATTCGTTAATACGTTCGGTAATTTTCAACATCAACACTTTAAATTGATTTCTAGATATCTCTATGTCAGAACAGAAATTTCAAGAAACAATGAAAACAATAATAAGGGATTTAACTGATAAGGTAATTTGAAATTTTTTTTTATCTAATATTATATTTATTTGCAATTATTTCCGTGGTGTACGTAGATAACATAACTTACAGTATAATATAAAACAATGTAAAAACAAATATAAAATTATATACTAAAGTTAGGAATTTGTAATATTTGCAACCTTCCTATAAGCTAATATCTTGTGGTGCAGAGTTGGACTTAAGTATTGAATTATGTATTATTTTAGTATTTAAATATATGATACATTAAATAAAATTATAATAATTAAATAATCTATAAACCTATCATACACATTATTAGACACATTATTTCTAAAATAGTAGTATTTCTAATGTGTATAAAAAATAAAAATACAATCATTTTAGCAACTTAAAACACTTTATGAAGTAGTACAAAAAGACGATAAAGGATATGTTACCAAGCTCTCAGTAGAAGACTACTTACGTAAGAAAAGCATTGGATCGAAGCATATACTATCTGAACGTGAAATCGAATATGTAACTAAAAAATTGCCGTCGGGTACGTTGAATTAAAATTATTGAGTAAAATATATGAAATATATTGTAAAATGTAATATATATGAATAACTGATAATATTATGCAGAAATCGTTAACAAAGATAGCTGTTAGGTAGTATAAGTTCTACTAATATAAATCGCTTTTATATTTTTTTCTCTAGACGAATTGTATCTAATATTGAAATTCCCATACATTTTTTTTCAGACACGATTGTAGATTATCTAAAAGTTAAACAAGCGGACAAATAAAATAATTTTTTTTTTTATGGCTTTAAATAATACCCGTTATGATCAAATATTGTACACCAAAACACAATATAAAAAATTGCAACCTGTTAATTCGTTACATAATAATATAGTTTGTTAAATTTTAACATATATACCTTTATGATGATTTCTAGATATTCGTATGTCAAAAGTGGAATTTAAAGAAATCGTGAATAAACAATCTTTCAAATTTACTGATGTGGTAAATATGATTTTTTTCCATCTAAATAGATGATTTATTAAAAAAAAAGAAAATTATAATTATGTAATACTCTATAAAGCTATACTGGTATCATTTTGAGACACTTTTATTTATGTTATAGTAGTTCTCTCATTGTGTATTAAAAGAAAAATGTAATGATTTTAGCAATTGGACTTCGTTTATAATGCTACCAAAAGACATGTTGACGAATTATATAAAGCTGCCAACGAATACGGTGAAAAAGTGGACAGAGATTACATAGAACGCTACTTGGCCGACAACTTATCCAAATACAATGGACTAACCATTTATAGGGTGCAGGATGTAGTAAATGACTTGCCGCCAGGTACGACAAATGTTAATAATAATTTAGTAATAGACATGATAAAATAATATTTATGTGAAATATGAATGCTTATAATTAATTTGATGTTTTGTTTTAATTATTATCGGTAGGTAATGTTTTTTTTTTTACAATATTTTTGAGGAGTCTTAGACGGCTTTTGATAATACCCGTTATGGTCAAATATTGTACTTAATAATGTGATAATAATAACTGCAACCAATCAACTCGTTACAGTATAATTTAGTTTGGTAAATTGTAATGTGAATACTTTTATAATGATTTCTAGCTAAACATTTGATGTCGATAAGTGAATTTATAGATAAATTTGATTATGGTTTGTTCACTTCACGAGGATAATGGACGCTACAACAGCATCCTTTGGCGTATTTAAAATTGTTCCGTTATATGGCAAGTAATTTTTTGTATCTTTATAACATATAGTATCAACTTATAGTTTCTTTTGTATGTGATAAATAAAAATAAAAATAAATATTGTCATAAATTTTAGGCTTGTGAAAGTTAATATTATTAGCTATCTAAAATATAGTAAATACAACAATTCAATGCCAGTACAGTGCATATATCGAGCTTAAAGGAGAGCATATATGAGCGGGGGAGGTTACAATTTTTTTAGGAATTTTTTTAACCAAAAATGATAATGCCACTTTATTTTTAACCTCAGAATAAAGATAATGTTTGCAGCCCTTCTGGTGGACAAGGGCTTTTGATATTTTATTGGTTTGCCAATGTTTATCGATAGTAGGTACGTCATTATCTAAAGAATATACCATACAAATTTAGAACCAACGTTAAAAAAAGTCATAACACGTCAAACATAAAAAAAACACATTATTGTAAAAACATTATGACTTCTCGACTAAAACATTTAGCGGTACAGCTGGTGTGTATTGAATAGAAAATATATTGGACGCATAAGAACAAAAATCAAATTTCGAAGAGTATTATACAACTTTTACTGTTTATCTAATGTTTTAGATATTTAGAACCAATTAGCTCAGAAACAGTAAACAAGTTTTTGTTTAATTTAACTTTTCTAAATTTGTGACTAAGTTCCGACTCAAACGTGTCTTTTTAATTTAAATGTGTTACCTAACCAAACCTAAACTTAATGAAGTACAAAAATTACAATATTGTATGCATATAACTGTCTTCTTAAGCGTTTTTTTTTTAAGTAATTTTATCACTTTAAGTTAAAACAATAATTATTCCTGAAGAACGGCGACTTCCTTGACCGAAGGTCACTTCGTTTTATATAATTTTACATATTTTATAATTATCGCATACTAAACTTTTTTTTTTTTTTATATTTCAGGGCTATATAAATTACTTCAACTTTCTATCTTCATTCACTACATTGAAAACTTCAAACTATTTTAAGTACTTCATTTAAGTCTTTTAAAAAAAAAAATCAAGGCAGTAAGCTTGCTTTTAATGTGTTTATTCCTAAATTGTAATGGGCGTGAGGGTTATTTTTGTTTTAATAGATTAAATTTAAACATAGAGGTATCAAAAGCTGAAAAATAAACATTTCCTCCATAATTTACAAGCTAACTTTTTACAGCTATACTATTTTTTTTTTTTTATTAAACAGTAGTTTTCACTCATTCTCTAAGCCACGGAATTGTTAAACTGTGTTTGTAATATTTTATATAAATTATTAATACTTATAAATCACTTAATTGTGTAACTCCTTGTTACGTTATTTATTTGCTAGCACGATATATCATAACATGATTATGAATCTTGTTATTATATAATAGTTCCACTCTGGTAAAATGTTAAACGTTTTAATAAATTGATTGTGTGTTTCTGTTATTTTTATTGTAATGAACTATAAAGAAAAAAAAATGTTTGAACCTTACCTGTTAAATGTTTATAGAAAAATGAAAATGTTAATAAATTCATTGTGTGCCAACTATATGTTATTATTTTACCTATACAACCATAAAATAGTATGATGTTAAGCTCTCTGCGAGGAGAGATGCCTTTTTGACCACCCCCTCTCACTGCGCAAAGTATCAGCATGATTGTTTTTCTAAAAATGATAAGGTATTAATTAAAAATTATGTTGTATTTTCAAAATTATTTTAGATAAAAATATATTTAATATACACAAATCCTTTGAATACAACTGTCCTATAAACGTTTAACTAAGAATTAAGATTCAACTGCATAGTGTATAGTCAAGCAAATAGTTAAAAAAAAAAGTGAAAATACCGATTAAACAACATAATAAAATTGAGGTTGACTATGAATTCAAAGACTAATGGTACGTTGATGTCATGCTTTAATATGCTGGGCCTACAAAGTACTACCCAAATTTAGGCTTTACTTTGCTCGAATATCCCGAATTCAGCTGTACATCAATTCAAATTGGTGCAATTTGAAATATAATAGAAATAATATTTCATATTTAATATTAAAAAATATTAATTTTATTGATTTATGGATTTCTATGAAAACATCTAACAAATTAAAAAAAAAAATCAGTATAGTGGGGAACATGTTAAAACCACTTTTAAATAAGTGTCGAAGTAATTTCTGTGTATGATAAGTCCTATAAACACAAAATGAACCAGTTGTGTAAATAAAAATAGGTACACTGCAAAAAGGATTTTAGTTAAAACATACAGCTACAAGTCATAAGAAAACCATATTCAAACAGTTAGTTTGACAAACTGAACAAGGTACTATTGTTGTCACAGAAATTCTAACGGTCCAATAATAAATAAGCAAGTATAACTATCAAACACTAAAAAAATTAATTTACTACCTACGCTAAAACTATAAAGTAGGCATAGCATTTTTCTTCCACACCGATTATAACAAACTTTTTTTGAAAAAAAATCTAATACATATCTATGAATAAACCGAAACTCGTAAACGTGTATAACCAATATCGTTCGATATTGGATATCGGTTCATGTCTATACTCAGCCCTTTTAATGAGTTAAAATTTTAGTTTACAGTTTAGCTTACACCATTGTGTAAAAAACTTGAACAGTAATCAGGATTATTAATTGCATTTTTATTTGATCATATTAAAACAGCGTCAATTAACAACATTTTCAAAAGTTTTTCATACTTATCAAAATATGCTACTAAAATTGTGATGTAGTCCGTTAACCCGTTCTGATGGGCATAAAACAAAATTTGATTTCATGAAATCGAAAATTAAGAATGCGTTAAAGCTTTCGTGGATTGAAATTGCATTTGACTGAATTTTATTTCGCTATTCATACGTGTAGTGTCCTCGAGGCCGCGATTCTCGACCAATGGGGACCGACCATCCAGTTTGACAAAGTGAAAACACCAAACAAAGAGGCTAATTTCGGGAAAACAATGTACAAAGCGGTCATAGATGTTGAAAAGTGTTCAACAAATTTTAATAGAGCAGATTGTTGGAAGTCTAGTGACACATGGAAACGCATTTTTCAACTAAACAAAAGAAAATAACAGATTAAACTGACTCACTCATCGTGACACGTCACAGCGTGTTATGATTCGGCAAATACGCTCGGTCCCCATTGGTCGAGAAACACGGCCTCAAGGACACGAAACGTATAAATAGGGGTAGGGAACGAGCGATGCAATCAGTATAGCCACGGCAGCGGTACAGTCGTGACCATAACAGCCCTGATTATGGACTCTGCAAAGAGTCTGAAACGTCGGCCTACAACCATTGACGTGGATACATCTAAAACTCATCCAAATGAAATCGAAAGTTGTCACTCGAAAATGGTCATCGACCAGTCAAGTTAGCCTAATTTCTACGTTTTTTTAGTATTACATTTTTTTTTTTACATCTGAAAAAAACATAATTTCAGTTTTTTTATTTTAATAATAAAACATGTCTTGGTAAAACTTTATTGCTTACATATTTTCGGAGTAAAAAGAGAAAGCTGTGCCTTAGGACACGGGCACGCGCGTTGTAACGCCAAAGCTGTCCCATCTCTGGTGACGACCATGACTATAATAAGCGTTGATTTTATGTTTATTAATTATTTTTCGCAGATAAAAATGAAACTTTTCTGTTTATTAATGTTATTTGTCTTGGTAAATGTGTCCACAAATAACCAAAGTAATTATTTCATTTTAACAACAACATACTTAAGTATGATTAAAAAAATTTCAATATTTCTCTTCTTTTTTTTTTACAGTGGAGTATTTGAGCGAGATTGTCATTACAAGTCAGTAACAATTTTATTTTATAAATTGCATTTAACATTTTAAAATTTTACCATTTTTATTCATATTTGTTTATATGATGTGTTACAGACGCATTAATAGAGATTGCTTATAAAATGAATAACTGTACTGTAGAAGATAACTTTATAGCAAGTAAGATTTTTTTCAAATACACTTTCAATAAATAGGTAATTATTTTGATATGTTTTCCTATTGCCCAGGAATTTGCAAAACAAAAAAATTACAGTTAACCTAAACAGTGTACTGTATACTGTGCGAATATTTAAGTTATGAAAGTTATATCATTTATATTTATAAACACACTTAGTAAATGGTCACTGCTTAGATCATGGTTTATTTTATCTTAAATAATTATATACATTTATACTATTTTTTTTTATTATGGCTAAAATCTTTATTTGTTTATTCCAGATGGATTGGAGCATGTAGTTAAAAAAATTGTTTTTAAAGATAAACATTTGTCTGGTACTTAGTAATAATTATAAGAAACAAGATAATGCTATCTAGTAGAAGAGAATATTTGAAAGTATTGTACAAATTAGAATAATACAAATGCAAATGTATTAGTGATATAAATCATAAATTGTTATGAACAATTTTAAATGAAATCGTACAGATATTTTCTTCTACTTTGAACTTCGTCTTTCTGTTTATAACAGAACAGAAAATAAAATCCAATATTATTAATCTAATGTTAATTTCAGATCGAATGAATCTCAACTTTATGAATCATATGATCGTTGTACCGGGTAATTATTTGTTATTTTATGGAAATATTTCCACTCGGTTGTTAAATGTTTTTTAAGTTCCCAATATAATTGTTTTAATTTCAGAATTTCCATTCCTTGGCGTCATAGATGGTAATCATATTTCATCATTTATATTTCACATTTTAAATACTTTACACATATGTATTACTAATAAATTTATTGCGAGAAACATTCTGTATAGTGCATATTAGTTTCAATCATATGAAATATATACAATATAAATCAACATTTTTTTATTTTTAGCATCTTTAGAACTTGAAGACATTTTGAAACAAGAAATAATAGATGAATTAAGTAAATATGAAATTTTTAACAAAGCAGTTTTCAAAACATCAATTTAAGTAGTATTTATGATTTTTAATATTTTTGATACTCAAAATATAATTTAAAACGTTAATTCAGACGTTGAC